ACCCAGTAGGATGTTACCTGTGTAATTACCCAGGAGGATGTTACCTGTGTGAGTTCTCAGATGTTGCATCAGTGACGCCTTCAGTCTGCTGCTGTATGGACAGTGGGGACAGATAAAAGGTTTTTCAGCTCTGTGGACACCCAGGTGACGTTTCAGTGTGAGCTTAGATGAAAACTTTCTGCAGACAGAATACATCCTGGTTAAGTCGCTTTGCTCTTATTTTATTGGTGGAACTATTGCTATGTGTGGAGAGGAATTCTGGGTAATGTAGTTACCTGTGGCACAGTGAGCAAGTAAGACTAATCTGCTCGCCATCACATTTCTGCTCCTCCGTTTTCTTGTTTCCTGAGTCATTCTGTGATGAACCACTTTGGAGTAAACTGGTCTGACTGGGAACAGAACTCCTGAAATCACATATTTGTTCTTGCTTGTCTGTTTGGGAATTGCTAAAAAAAAACGGCACTGATTGCATTTAGAGGTTGACCGATGCAGGAGTTACGATATTTGTTCAGTTATTTAGGAATCCTAAACTTGGGACCGGTGAATGCCGATATTTTAGGTAATTTAATCAGACAATAATTTCTATTCTGAAACTATTCTGCTTCCTGTAATAATGTTGGTTCTCCTGTGGCTCCTCCAGTGATGACACATTCAGCTCACTATAAAAAGGAAGGCCAATAACAACGGTCAACCTCGGGGCATTTTCCCTCATCTAAAGAACCACTTGAACCAGGACTCACCTGTCAGGAAGCCCTGCCTTCTTTGTTTCTGTCTGTTCAATTGGCTGGGACCTCCATCTGTCTGAGGTTGACCAATCAGAACCATCAGCAGCGGCAGGGCATCATCAGTCTCTGATCTGGAGCTGAAGCTCACCTGTGGATGTGCTGATTGGGCTTCCTGGCGCAGCACTCCTTCTGTTCTTCCAACAGCTCCTCTGCTTTCCCTGATGCTCCTCCCTCCTTCGCGTGACCTTGTAACGCTCTTGATCTTCCTTCCTCCTTGGTTGCTTTCCCATCCTACTCCTCCTCCTCCCCTTCTTACTGTGGTTCCTCCAGTGAAGCTCCAACGCCTCCCAGCTGTCGGAGGTCCAGCCACAGCTGGGACAGTCAAAGCCACCGGCCGCTCTATGGGAACGGACGTGGACACCGAGCATCCGTCTGGATGGAAGCGTCACGGGACAGAGGAGACATGGCAGCTGGCGGTGGCGGAGGGGCGGAGCCTCTCTCTGTCCATCTGTCCTCTGCTCCAGACAGGAGGCTTCCACAGGAGATTTGATGGTGGAGATGCGACAAAGTCCAAGAGTCATGAGGTGGGCAGACTGGTCCATCTCCTCCTGGGTGGAGGGGGGGTCGATGGGGCAGGAAATGTCTGCTGCTCCTCTTTTCAGAGGGAAGACCGAAGACTCTTCCTCCTCATCGTCAAACAATGTGCTGACCTGCAATAGTTGTTAGAGAAGAAGAACAATCAGCTGAGACCACGGAGAGGAGGAGGAGAACCCGTCAGGTGATTTTTATAGAACCGCCAGGATTCTGTCAGATTATGGTTATAGAAC